TCGTGTAACTAATGCAGATTTCTACAAATTTAGAAATCATCTGCAGAAAATTACTAATGTGTAACGTGATACCCGCCTGTTCCGCCCTCGAATAAATATAGATTTTTATTTTTTTTAAATTTAACACCTTTGTAGATCTCTCGTTATTTTTTATTAATAGTAATAGTAAACGACTAAACATTTAGGCGCACTTTTGAGGTAACAAAAAAATGAACAATAGATGGATGATTTTTTCTTTTGCCATAGTGTGATTGGTTGATTATAACAATGATTAAATAATTCAAATTTACCGTAGCTGTATTTAGTTAATCCTATACAACGGAACCACATGGAATGAATTGGCTCGCAAAAATTCAAAACTTTCAATAATTTTTATTTGCCGAGATTGTCTACCTTTCTCATCTTCGCCGAAATTAGTTTTCATAGTAATAGAGTAATCATACCTGAGTTCTTTAAACAGCATAGCTTTTTTATGTCATTCATATAAGGAATGTCGAGGACCCGAAATTAACAATGTAAAAAACAAATTTCAGGCATCTTTAATATACTAAAGAATAATATATTACCTAAATTTTGATTGTCATGTCTTGGATTTTATATACAATTGGCCTAGTTAAAAACAAAAGTAACTCGTTACTGGTGAAGTTGTGTTTCAGCTAAATGACATAGTACTAATATGTGTTCATTTGTGGACGAGTGAGTTCCTTTTGATTTGACGAATGATCAAACTTAGATTGTGACTTTTTTTTTTTAGTCTGATTAGAATGGTGTGGCACATCAAACAATAAAGCTGACTGGATATTATTAGCGATTGAACTTAGTGTTACGATTAATGATAATGTGTTCAAGGTTTCACGACAAGTTTTTTCACGTTTTTTTTTAGAGTTTATCAATCATATCCATATGCTAACTTCCTGTCTATTTATGCATCTAAACAAAAAATATTTCTGCTCTTGGGATAGTGTGTGTGTGTATCTTCAAATACACAATCTTTTATTTAATTAAAAGCAGTGGAATTCTTATTACATAATTTTGTATCATTGTCATTTTGCAATAAAACATTATATGCACAGCATTGCTTGGAAGTACAAATGTCATCCTCTTTAACTGTATATTTTTAATGTGATGTATGAAAAAGACATTCTAATTTTGTCAAGAGATTTTGTTTAAATAAAGAATGGAAGTGCCCAGAATTTTCGTAATACATTGCAATTTCTATCCAATTTAATTTCAGCACCACATGCATAATAAATACATCCCATTCTACCCAATTCGAGGATGCCATTAATGGTGATAATATAAAAAACAAAAATCTTAATTTTTTTAATTAAAAAAATTCTTACTGTGACCTATTATGTATCCTCGTGAAATAGTGTACTACTAGTACCTTTTTGTGGGAGATTTTCCCGTTAATGTTTATCATGCCAAAAGTTCGTACAAAATCATCAATAATGATGATAACAAAGAGATAACATAAAACCAACTTATAAGCGTTAAAGCTTTAGATGAAAACAATAATAGTATTAGTTTATATTAATATTTAAAATCTTGTGTATTATATATTATATTAAAGATTCTTATTAAAGGTTGTTTGGCGTTGGATAAATTGGAATTAAAGTGAGATGTATAAATGATGCTCATTAAAAATATTAATAAAGGCTGGTTAATGGAGTAAAGATGTCGTCGCTGGTTTTTATCTGAAGCTATCAGAACAAGTTATTATAGTAAAAATTTACCGAGAATAGAGAATTTGAATGTATAAATAACATTTTAACTTTTACATATTTATCATATATTTAATGTAATGACAGATCTTTCTTGGCAATAAAAATCAGGACCAAACTCTGGAAGTTTTTGAAAAAGATATTATATATAAATGGATTGCATTCATATATATATTCATTAGTTAATAACAATTTTATAAAAATAAATAAATAAAATAAGACAAGCATATGTTGCTATGTCAAGATCCCAATCTTTGAACCTTTTATAGGTAATGAACTTCTCAAAGAAAAAGTAGTGGTTTATGAACAAGTAAAGAGATTTTATTAAACATTAACATCATAAAATTAAAACCACTTCAAACCAAGTTAAATAATTCTGGAATGGTTCATACAACCACCATTTTTTTCCAATCATCATCTTCTTCAAGAGTCTCATCATCACTTTTTTCTTTATTATTATTATCATCATCATTTTCTTCACCTTGTTCCTCCTCTTCTTCTTCATCATTATTAACATCCAATATAACAAATTTTTTCAAGTTTCTACTTAAAATACAAATTAATCCTTTAATATTATTGCTAATAAATTTTAAAGGTTTATGCTGTTTGATAGATTTATATTTATTGATTACTAATTGTGAAGCTTTTTCATAGAAATTTGTTGATTCTAATAATTTTATTAATATTTGATCAATGATAGCAATAAAATCATTATTGATATTATCAAGGTTAATATTATTAACTATAAAAATATTACTATTGTTGTTGCTGTTGTTGCTGCTGCTGTTGTTGTTGTTGTTGTTGTTGTTGATAATATTAATATTTGAAGAAAATTTTATTAAATCCAAAGATTTTGGTAATTTAATAAAACTTATATCTTTAACATAATTTATCTCTATAAGATATTCTCTGATTTCTTCTTCTTGAGCATTACTAATATTTAAATTTTCAAAAATTTTGTCAGGTGATGATATAATTAAATGTAATTTTTCTTCATTAAATATTTTTAAATCTACTATTTTAATATTTTCTGTTTGTATTTCTTGATTTTTTAATTGTATGTATGCTATCTCAACAACATTATTGCTATTTTCTTCTTCTTCCATCTCCTCTTTTACATTATTGTTATTTAATGGAAATCTTAATATCCATAAAACTGATGGTATTATTATTGATTCATCATCATCATCATTATTAGTTTTTGATGAATAATTATAAATATAAAATATTATATATTGAAAATATATTGAATTCTCTTGTTTTAAAATTATTGAATCTATAAGAAATTTTTGTTTTTCAATTTCCTTGTAATAATCATCTTCATCTTTTTCCTCATCAGGATCATTATCTTTTACTTGCTTATTATTACTATTTTTACTTATCATTGATGATAACTTTTCATTGTCATCATTATCATCAACCATTTCATCATCATCATCATCTTTTATTTTTTCTTCAACATTATTCTCAACAATGTCATCATCATCACCACCATCATCACCACCACCATCATCATCATCGTTATCAAAATTTATTGAGAAATCTTGAAAAAGTTTCAAATAATTTTTTGGTTCAATACAAGAAGTGACGTTTTGAGCAGTTGAGGTGGAAAATTCATCACAAAAATTTAACAAATCATCAATAAATTTCCACAAGTCAATATTTTTTTCCAATTTATTTAAATTTAAAGATTCTTTTATAAATTTTGAAACTCTAATTATATCAATTGAATTCAATGCCTCAAGTGGTGGCGAATCAGGTGTTGTTTGATCTAATGATGATGTGCTAGTAACTTTATCAAACTCATATTGTAACCAATGTATAAAATCCTTGAAATTGTTACTTTCCTCATCAACAAACAATGAAAATTCTTCTATTTTTGGTGTTAAGCTACTGGCAATTATTAATCGTGATTGTATCAATTTTTCTGATAATCCAAAACCCTTGAATTTTTGTGGCCATTTACTATACCCTATTAATGAATTTAATTCCAACAATAACCTTTCAAATCCTGTATTTATATAATGATCAATTAATGATTGTATTTCTGAAAATGCTTTATTAACTTTATTCTCCCATTCCTTCAATTCTCTTTTTTTTAAACATGCTTCCATAAATTCCATTAATAATTTAGTCGGTTTACCAGTTGCTAATAATACAACAAATTCTCCTGACATGTTGGATTTTGCCATCTTTATTTTATTGTTGTTACCTTCATTATTCTCATTCTTATTCTCATTCTTATTTTCATTCTCATTCTCATTTTCATTCTTATTCTCATTTTCATTTTCATCATCACCATCATGATGTTCATCAATAATTTTTTGAAATTTATCAAAGTATGATCCATATATGGTTTTCACTGTCAAATAATTATTTTTCACTTTATCCAGAGATTCTCTTATGTAGTCTGATATAAATTTGATGGATGTATACCGATGTGATAAAGCTAAAATTTGATTTTTGTGAGTATGGAGTAATCCTGTTTTAAATGTAGTCACAACCAATTGATGATGCTTTTTCTTCTCTGATTCCTTTTCTTGATTTTGTGTTATTGTTGTGGTTGTGTAAATTAATGTAAGTATGGAAAGATCAGATGTAACTGATGCTTTAATTATTTTAGAAACTTTTAAATTTGATTGAGTTAATAGTATTGGCTGTAAACTATAAATACCATATACAATCATATATATATACCCTTCACTGTCACCTGCTATTAATAAATTAACTGTATTTTTTTCAACTTCTGAAAAATAATCTGATCCTGTTCCTCCTTTTCCACCTCCAAAACTTCGATTAACACCACCTACCACTTCCCCCTCCCCCTCTCCTTCTTCATCTTGTTGCATTTTAATTCCTAATAATTTACATGATGCTTTTGTACGTGATGTGGTATTCAATCTAGGTAAATATTTTTGAAGCGGGTGTGAATTTTTATAATAATTTATTTGATTTTTGTTATACATTAATATGTTATTTTTATCATTAATGATGCTACTACTATTGTTGTTATTGCTATTATTGTTATTGGTTTTCTCATCTACCCATAAAATAAAATTCACTGATCCATTAGTTTTGGTTGATTGAAGTAGCTCTGGTATATTTTCACAATTATCAGCATCAAACAATTTAATTTTTCCGCTCGAGAAACCTATGGCAATAACCTTCCCGTCAGGTCTCCAAGTAATGGCGGTCACTTTATCACTCTCGTAATAATTTGATGGTAAGGTCCAAACTTTTTCCAAAGCGTTAAACCACCTAGCAACCAAAACTTCTCCTGAAACCATACAAATTGCGATCAAGTCCATTGTGGGACATAGTGATGTAAATTTTATAGAACTGTTGTTGTTGTTGTTATCGATATTATGTTCTTTTAATAATTGAAAGGCTTTTCCATTTGCCATTGTATTTTCTTGTTGAAATATCATTTTTATATTTATTTATTTATTTATGTAATAATAAAATCTAGATAAATGCAGATCTCCATGATCTCCATCAAGATTCGACAAACAAAAAAATAATAAAGAAAAAATAAATTTTTTCAAAATGTTTAGAATTGCGTATAACAAAGTTAACAATTATAATAATATCAATATTAAAAATAACAAAATTTTGGTCAATTCCTCGTTTAATTTATTATCATTAAAAAAAACCTCAATTCGAAATGTAAAGAAGCTCAATACTTTAACTAATTATTATAATTATCAAAAATTTCACGTTTTCCCAAAGAATAACTTTGCAACGACAGCTGATACTACTACAGCTGATACTGTGGCTGCCAAAGAACCAGAAATTGTTAATAAACCAAAACCAAAACGTCTACGTCGTTTATTAACAATTGGCGCTTTGATTATTACTGGCACTGTAATTTTTTCAATTCTCGATAATAAAAAAGTGGAAAATCTAGCAAAAGAACATGAGATAAAGGATTTATTATCGATTACTTGTAAGAATGGCGGCCCTAAAAATTTACCAGTTGCTGAACATTTTATTGATGAAAAGGATTCTCAAAAAGATAAACCTAGAATAGTTGTACTTGGGTCAGGCTGGGGTGTAGGTTTCTTTTTTTATTGTGCATGCATTTATATAATTTTTGTATTTAACCTTTTTTATATAATTTAGGCTATTTCAGTTTTAAAAGAATTGGAAAAAGATAATTATCATGTTACTCTGATCTCTCCTCAGTAGGTTTATTGTTAATCATATAGCAACAATATGATAATGTATCTTGTAACATACTAAAATTATCTAAATTTTTTTTTTCTCGTTAGAAATTACTTTCTTTTCACGTAATTATTGATTTTTTATCTATACGTCCCATCGTATATACGTGTGTTTATTTTATGGTAGTTAAAAAACAACAACTAAGATTTGTTATAAACCAAATTTAGACCTTTACTCCCATCTGCAACAGTTGGAACACTTGAGACTAGGCATATTATTTATTTTATTATTACTTTATTACTTTTTTAAACAATCTTATTACTATTATAATTATAATTATTATACTAATCATTTCTAGATAATTTAGATCACTTTTAGAGCCAATTAGAAGTATAGTCAAAGGAACAGATGCACATTATTTGGAAGCTACTGCAACAGATATTTGTTTTGATGAAAGACTTGTAGAGGTTAAACCGACCGGGGACTTCTCGCAATCTTTTTATGTTCCTTACGATAAAGTAATATATTTTTAATTAATTATTCTCATAATTTATATGTGTGTGTAATTATTTATTGTATAGTTTTTTAAAGCTTATAATCGCTGTAGGTTCTCAATCAATTACTCATGGAATTGAAGGAATCGAACATTGTCACTTTTTAAAAACAGTAAATGATGCTCGTAAATTAAGAAAAACAATTATTCGTAATTTTGAAATGGCTTCTTTACCAACAACTTCACCCGAAGAGAAGAAAAGACTTTTAAGTTTTGTTGTCTGCGGTGGAGGTATGTATGATTATAACTTGTTATTTGTTTCTGTTTTATTAAGGAAATGACTAATGTTTTTTTTGGGGGGGTTATTCAAATATAATCGAATCCTAAAGGACCAACTGGTGAATTTTTAATAATTTTTCTTTTAAAATCTATTAATCTTTCTGTGCATTTTATTAAATAGAGCATCTTTCCTTTTACTTTTAATATTTTAGGTGTGGAATTTGCTGCCGAATTACATGACTTTTTGAATGAAGATTTAGTCAGATATGTAAGTTTTCCTTTTCCTTAAAACATTTATTTATGTTATAAACACTTTAAATATTTATATATATATTATTTAATTTTAATAGTTCCCAGCTGTTCTTAGAAATGAAGTGAAAGTTAGCATTATTCAAAGTCAAGATCATATATTAAATACATATGATGAAAAGATTAGTAAATTTGCCGAGGTACTGTACTTACTTACTATGTTATTGACCGGGGGGGGGGGGATTTTTTTAAAAAAAGTTGGTTTTATTTATGATATATATTTTATTTTATATAGAGTAAATTTCAACGTGATAATATCAATGTGATCACAAATGCTCGTGTTCAAAAAATCGAACCAAATCAAATTGTTTATAAAATGAAAAAAGGGGATAAAGAAGAAAGACTTGATTATGGATTGTGTCTCTGGTCAACTGGAATTGGTAAGAATCTTGTTTGCAAATTTTTTTAAAATTTATAATAATAATAATAATTACTAATAAGATCCTCACTGTCAACAACAAAACAACAACAACAACAACAACAACAACAATAATAATATTTAGCAATGAACCCTTTAACGAAATTGATATCAGACAAACTAGAGCCGCAAAAAAATACACGTGCCCTTATTACAGATAATAGACTTCGTCTTAAGGGTGCACCTGATTCTAGTGTATATGCGATTGGGGATTGTTCCACCGTCGAAAATCCAAAATTAGTTCAAAATTTAATGCAATTTTTTATTGATGCTGACACAGACAAAAATAATTGTTTGAGTTACGACGAGTTTCATGAATTAGCCAAAAAAATATCAAGGCGTTACCCAATTACCTCTAATCATTTAAAGAAAGCCGATTCATTATTTGCTCGATATGATGTAGATAAAAGTGGTAAATAATAAATGTTCTTTATGAAAAAAATTATATTTTTTACATTCATATTAATTTTTTTTTAATTATAAATTATTATTAGGCACTCTTGAACTGGATGAATTACAAGCAATGTTGAATGATATTGATAAACAACTTACTGCTTTACCTGCGGTTTGTACTGATTGTTTTTTTTTCGAAACAAAATTTTTTCCTTTCATAATATATTCCTTTTCTTTTTTTTTTAAAAAAAAAAATAGACAGCACAAGTTGCTCATCAACAAGGCAAATATTTAGGCAAAAAATTAAATAGTCTAGCACTGGCATCAAAAACCAATGTACTGCCAACGCCATTGGATTATTCAACAGATACTGATAATCCCGCGCCGGACACTGATGATCGATTAGCACCATTCAACTATGCTCATTTGGGCTCGCTTGCATATATTGGTAATGCAGCCGTAGCAGACTTTGGTACGGGTTGGACTTGGATGGGTAATTGGTCCGCTGTATACCTTTGGAGAAGTATATATCTGAGTGAACAAGTTTCATTTAGAACTAGAACATTGTTGGCTATTGATTGGTCAAAGGTGAGCTTTTAATTACAATAATGAATTACATGCATTTACTATATATTAATTTTTTCTTTTTTTTTTTGAAAAATGATGTAAATAGCGATTCTTATTTGGTAGAGATATTTCAAGCTTTTGAAATATTATATTTATTTATTTTCTTCTTGTTGAAAGAAAACAGAATTCAATCTTATATTTGTGAAATCATTTAATTCAATGTCTATAATTATTTATGTAATATAATTTAATTTAATTCTAATAATATTTACTTTAAATATATATATATATATATACTTCAACAGCTTCTGTCTCTTACCTCATAGTATAGTATAATCCAATAAAATTTTTTCCCTTATTTACTCGATTAAACTAGAATGGATAATAGTTTACATACAAGATCCCTTGACTTAAAAATAATTAATAATATTTCTATTTAATAATTTTTTAAAGAAATTACTAAATTCAGCTCATTATGACATTTCTAAGGGGTAAAGTATATAAAATTTTTAATTATTGATATAGATTAGATTAGAGATGATTCATAAAATGGCAATGTTTATATTTTTTTGTTGTTTAATATTGATATTGATGATGTTGATATTGACCGTGTTGACAATCCCTTTGGATACCAGACGTCATATACACACACATTTATAGTTTGAAATGAATTTACTACGGCTCTATAACAAGGGTCACATGATCGTTGTTTAGTATTCAGGGAATGATGCAGATGATACCCCTGAATGTTATTTAATGATGTCAGAATTCTAACCCTTAAAATAAGCCTAAAGTTGGAAAATTTAAATATAAATAACCCTTCTAGAGAAAAAGTGGCATGATTGAATTGACGCAAGGATGTATTAATCCAGAGAAGAAGATATTCAAACCTTCAATTTGTTGATCTTTTGAAGGAAATGTTATTCCAATAGTGGCAATGGTGGTGACGATGATGATAAATTATTAGATCAGACGGATAATTTTTACGTTTAATATTATTTTTATTAAACTTTTATTTCGACACATAAATATGACGTGAAGGAGAGTTCACTATATCGTAAGTATGCAGAAAGGTCAGGGTCTATTATAAGCAGTGTGACTACATTAGGAATACAAGGTTATCTGCATCGTGGAAAAAAAGCCAACATTGCTGTATCAGGAAAACAAGACGTATTACTTCAATATTGGTTAGATTTGCATGCATGTGCTGCAAGTTACACATTTGGTAAAGTGGAACTTGCCGAGGGATATTTACTTCAAAGAATAATAATCATTTAGAACTACAATAGCTTTATACCTACCTGCTCTAGCCAACAAACCGATTTTGTTATTGATTCTTTCCCTTCGGGGAAATAGATTCATTTGATTTGTTTTTTAATATAGTTTGCTTTATTTCCACTAAATTGCTAAACAAAATACGTCGAAAGCAGACCCCGAAAATTATATAGGCTGGTTAAAAAAGTATTGTTTTCGCGTGGTTTTGTCCGAAAGTATCATTCATTATTGCTTCTTTGTTATTTTTTAAATCATGATATATAATAGTACAAAATTTAAAATAAAAACTTTGCCTTCCTAACCACATTGGGAAAAAAATTATACATATTTATATAATATATTTACGTAAATCCCGTGTCTTTGTCAATAATCTACGTAGATAAACATATATTCTATGCAAATCCCTGTTGTTTTCAATATTTCACGCAGGTTCTACGTAATTGTGAATTAGTTTTTACTGTTTTCCGGATATTAAGCGTTATGAACTGTACGTTGTTTTTACCGTCAATTTTACTTGATCAATTGATGTAATTATATTTATTGTTTTCTAATACATAGCTGATAAATTCATTGGTCCTTTGTGCATATTATTTCTTTCCATTTTTGGTATATATTCTTTTATATGTTTGTGTCAGCTTTCGCAACGTTTGATTAGGGCTTCTATTCGAATAAGGTTTATTCGAATTATTCACTTTATTCGCTATTACTATTAATATTAATATTAATATTAATTTTCTTATTCGAATTACATTGAAAGTTTATTCGAATAAATTTTAATATAAAACGAATAATTCGAATAAGGAAATTGATTCGAATAAGGAAATTAATTCAAATAAAAAATTGATTCGAATAAGAAAATTGATTCGAATAAGAGAATTAATTTTGAATAAAGCAAATAATTCGAAAAAATTAATTCGGATAAAACAAATAATTAAGGTCTAGTTTAAATTCAAGCTCACTGGAAAGATTGCTATTTATTAAAAGAAACATGAATCTTGTTTCAGTCTTTCCTTACTAGTTTCATTTTTAATTTCAATTTTTATAATAATAAACCTTGTTGTATATAGTTTGAATATTTAAGTAATTGAACAACCCATGATTCCAAATAATCTAATAAAATGAATGAACAAACCCCAAGATTCCAATAATGAACAAAACAAATAACTCGAATAAAGCGAATTAAATTTTTAATATTAATTCGAATAAATTTTTTAATTCGAATTAAAGATCAACTGTATTAGTATTAGTATTGGTATTACGAATAGAAGCTCTATATTTGATGCAGGTTTCTTTATTCTGAAAACTGTGCCAAATTTCGTCCGTATGACTCGACCAATAAAATCGAACATAAATCACATGACATATTTGTTACTAGAAAACGAAAGAGGCGAATTCATTTTGGTCTAGGATAAAGATATTGGAAACAAAACTAACTTCAGAAAGGATCTGAGTCAAATGATATTGATCCCTCAAAGTCAAATTATCCACAGTGGATGCTTGAAAATCACAGAGTTGGATCACTTAAAGCCTGATTTAGCTCGAAAACCTCAGAGATGCACACCTTGACTATGTTGAGAGAGATAGTAGTGATATCGATTATATGGTTCATACACAAATACATTTGGAATACAAAAAAAAAATCACGCATTAAACTGATGTTAGCATGTACCCCGATCTTATGGTAGCTGTGTGGTAATCATCTAATCATGCTCAAATCTCGAACTATCATTTTTTCTCTCACATTAAAACTCGCCAAGGCTTATCTCATCTGAATATGATAAATAGGGTTATATGATGTCTGGATATCGATAACAACAAAGTAATTTTTATTACTTCTGAGGATGCACTTAATATTATCCAATGATCCGTTAGAGTTGTCGTTGGTCAAAATGTTTCTTCGAATTATTTTATAATTTGAAATTTAGGCTGAAATGCCTAATACTAATATTAAACGATGTCGAAATACCAAAATATTGTCAAAATATACCCTTTTCAGATTCAAGAGGACATCGATTGAATGCTAGCCCTATAAAAATAATAATAACGTATGGAATTTCTGTATGTTAAACACGTTCTAAAAAAAATAAACATATTTTTTATATGAATTGGAAGATTTACTCTTTTTTAAATTTAGACATCAATTAATGAGTTTATAATCAAATCAGTAAGATTTGATTATTTTGTTACTTATTAATTAATAGGTGTGAGATAGATGCGGAATGTGCAACATACTGAAAGGATACTTTTTGATTCTGCATAAAACATACGGAATAGGTATCAAGATTAAGCAAAAAAGAGTGGGAGACCAACAATCTAATAAGAAACTTCAGTGGTATGAAAAGTCTTATACTGATATTTATCCCATATTTCAGAAAAAGAATTGATCGATGATCAAGAAAAAGAATTGATACCAGCCCACAAAATAAATGGAAAGTTCTTCTCATTGAAAGGTTGCCAAGTGAGGTTATCCCACTAAAAGATACAGAATCTTTCAAAATTGAGTTTCTTGCTGAATATAGTAAATCTTCTACACCCGGACCTAAAAAAGTCCTGCTAAATGTTCTGGATTCCTTAGTGCAATGCCAAAAAATAGACACAACAACAGAGCAATGATGATAAAGCTACGCATGAATGAATTCATAGACAGCTTATTATCTGAAGAATCCCAGCAGAGGGCCTGCTCCTGAGCTAATTACCGAGCCTGAACTCATTATATATAAGGATGATCAACTTGAAAGAATGTATGAGGATGCAAGGTGTTGTTTGGAAGAATTTAACAATGATACTGATGACTTTGGTTGGAATTGTTTTATTGATCATAATAATGTAATATGTATGCATGTTTATTTGTGTGATTAACCAAACTCTATTAATTAGCATTCATTTTTCTTTGCGAGGGGAATTCTTGATGTAAATACGCATTTACATTGCTTTATCTCTCTGCATTATTGATTCGAAGAAAACCTTTAAAAAAGGGTAGTATATAGATTTTATTAACATTTACGAAATATTCTTGTTATCATAATTTGCATAGTTTTATATTTTTTTTTTTACTACAAATTACTAAACATGCCCACATCATCTGTTTCATCAGGCGAATTTCTAAAAAATGAACCTCTTAATCAAATCACAATTTCCAGAGTGTTGCATAAATATTGGAAAGATGTGAAGTGAATAAAGAAGAAGTAGATTGCATGCAAGTTTTGGAAGTTTTGAGAAAATTGGCAGATGAAAGTTCTGATGAGAGTTGTAAGCAACACCTTTTGACATTGCAAGTCATGGAGAAGGTATTAATTTATTACCGTTTGAATCTGAATATGATTTAATGCAGATATGATGTTTATCCTTTTGGTGTTGAGTAAGTGGATATTTCGCATTCGGCGCGATGAGTTTCTGCATCATTTCACTATTTAAAATTATGAATAACAAAATAAGTGGTGATATCACATGGCCGGCCATATTTATTTGATCAGTATAACATTTAAATATTTTTTTTTGAATCAAACTAATTACTTTCTCTAATCATAGATACAATTTATGTGGAAAGAGCTCAATTCATTGATGGCAGATACTGATCTATCCTGGTGAGTTATTTCAATAGAAGGGTAAAGATAAACTTAGTGGAGAGATAGCACTCTAATAAATTAATACATTTAACCATATTGGCTTAAACATGAAAACCCAGATTGGAGAACTCTGGCTACATGTAATATCGACAGTGTGAAGGATATTTTACGACGTCAGCAAGAAAATTCCCCCGTTCATTTACGTCTTTATGAGGGATTGTGTAATGTAAACTTTAATGATCCATTGGTTAACAAGATAATCGATCTCGACTCCGCTCAATTCTCATCACAAAGAGAGGAGCAAAACATTCTCGTGACATGTATTTTTTCTAATCCAAGTTGGGGAAGTTCACCATATTCTTCTTTAGATTTAGGCATGTATATTAATTGGTCTTCGGGTGGCCATATTTGATCCTCTGAAAATCAAAAAATTATATATACAATGTCATTAAAATATTATAAACTTTTATCAATTTTTTTGTAAGAAACATGAACCCATCATTTTGCACTGGAAAACCATGTCTTTTCTTATATACTCCAAAATCTTCAGCATCATTCTCATCACTATCTTTTTCTCCAGTCATAAATAATGAAGCAGTGAACTACCACCACCATCACCAGACAATCTTGAACCACATTCATCCTCCTTTTTGATAAACCTGGACCTATCTGAATCAACTTTTAATAAATTTGATGATGCTGATTGAGTTGGATTTTTAGAAAAGATCTTTTTTACAAAGTCTGGTATTCCTATTTCAATATTCATATTTGCTAATCCACCTATCAATCCTATTGCAGATTTTACATCATTGGTAAGAAATTCAGAGCTCCAATTTACCATATCTACAATATAATATCAATGAATTAATATTTAAATACATGCCTTTCACTTTGTTTATAGAGACAATCTATAAATTTATAATTTACATATATTAAGCTACCAATTCCTATAGTAAAGCTGGCAGCAGATATTTGCATTGCATGGAATACAAATCTTGGAACCGAATATATTGAAATGATATTATTTGTAGATCTGTTCTATCCAATGTAAATTTTTTACTACAATTAGCCTGTAGTTGTGGTCATCAGAAAGATTAATCCAAAAAGCATACTTTATGTGACTTGTGACAAACAAAGTAGGTGTGCTTTCCATAGGTTTTCTTTTCCATGATTTTTTAATTTGAAAAAAAGAATTACAAATCATATTTATGATTGCAAAAAAAAATATATATATTAATATAATCAAAAATCGTTCAACAAAACTTGCTGCTGGAAGATCCTTTGATTCTTCCAAAGATGGAAATTGAAGAAATTACTATGTCACATTATCATCAAACTCAAAGCCTGTAGACAAGCTGAATAAATAGCTCATCTTTAAATGGGTGTCTGCTGCAATTTTGCAAGCATTCAATGGAGAAAAGCAAACACACATTGACAACTTACAATGGCCAATGAATACCTATGCTATTGTTTGGGTTGAGCTCTACATCAAATGCCCCACTTCAAATCTTCTTGGTCAAATTAATAATCTATGGGGATATTTATAGCATATCAGGTTCATGATAGAGGCTTGCAACAAATCTAGATACTTGCCACAATGATTTACTTCTTAGTGATATTCAGCTTGATGCCAAGTGGGCAAGTGGAAAAATTGAGAACAAATTTTACAATAGGTGCATATATTGTATTTATTCATAGAATTAAAAAATAAAAAATTCTCTTAGAGTAAATCAAAAGCACAAATTGGATTGTTTTGAATCATGGATAAATTTACTTTATGACTCATTAACTGTATAATAAATAAATATTATTTGAATAAAAAATATATATAAACAACAAAAATCAAAATAATTAAAAATTTAAAGACCATACCTCTCTTATATTGTCAATTTTATACTGTGTTGTTGTAGGTCTTTCTAAACTCAATCCCCAAGCAATAACATGAACATCAGGGTCTAAACCCATTGATTCCAACATTTCAGGTCAAAATTTCCAATTTCTACCCATTTACCCAATCCTTGATTTACAATTAAAAATAATAATAGAATAAAATTACTATCTATTCCAAATTTATTAAATAATTGCTATTTATTAAAATTACCTTGATGATATGAAAAGATTTCTGTATAAGGATTATAAGCAGGTTCAAAATGTAAATTGGTAACACCTATAAATCATTAAATTTATATAAAATCTTACATAAATACATTCCACTGTTTAAAAAAAATGTATTTATATATATTAATAACTAGCCCATCTTTCCAAAGAAAGTGTTTATGAAGCCAATCAAATCACCCAAAGTCAATCCTTTATCTGCAATAACACCTTCCACCTGATGAAATTCAGCCAAATGAGTTGCATCAACAGTTTCATTCCTGAAGACTTGATCTATTGAAAAATATTTAGCTGGTTTAAATTCTTTTTGTTGAGCAAGATTATACAACATATAAGAAGATACTGCTGTTGTATGAGTTTCAAAATTAATTTTTGTGCTTCTTCAATCTTCCAATCATAATTATATCTGATTGATCCATAACCACCAACTGAGTGTACTTCATTGACACATTGAAGATAATCAGTTGGAAATTTTGTAGTGATTTCTGGATCTTTATTCATTTTTTTACATAATAAATTTATAGATTCATAAAAAAAAAACCATTTGAAAAAATTTTACCTTTTAAGAAAAAGGTGTCATGAACATCATGAGCTGGATGTTGTTGAGGCTGGAAAAGTGCATCAAAATTCCAAAAAGATGATTCAACAAATCTATTTGTTGGCATTTCTTCAAATCTAATATATAAGATATGATTTAAATATATATTTTCATATACAATGATGTAAAACATAGATGTGTGTGTCTGTGTGCAGGCACAATTACCCCATCTCAAAAAAGATATTTTGAAATTCTTCTCTAACTTTCATTAAAGGATGTAAATGACTGCCTGGTGGTGGTATACCAAGAGCATCAAAATTATGATTTTTGAAGTTGGGCTTTTCCCACTTGCCACTTCAAAGCATATTTCAAAATAAAGTAAGCAAAAAGTACACTTGATTAAAAAAAATCAATTAAATCAGTTAGCACTTTTGAAGCATTTCAAAAGTTATGTCATGAGCCTGTTTTTCAATTGTTAAAACAAAGTGTGGAAGTATAAGAGACAAATTTTCTATAACATTTGTAATTATAATATAATAATAAATAAGAAGAAATGAAATTCAAAATCTTAGTAAAGTATAATTGTAAATTGATAAAATGATGATGTATGGTAGAAATTACTAAACTGTTTATCACATAGTT